ACGCATACGACAACCATGGAAAGACTCCTCTACGAATTTTCAAATGTGTTCTAGGAACCCAAGGGACTCTCTCCGCCCCGAGCATGCGATCATCGAGTCCCCCTGGTGGCGGGTGTAGAACCAGTCGTTGTCCGGCCTTATCGCTATTCTCATCTACAAAAGGACGAAATAGAAAAACAATGTGTTGAGATGCCGAAACAGGGGATCATACGCAATAGCCGCTCCCCCTTCTCTTCGCCGGTCCTGTTGGTAGCAAAACGGGATGGAACTTGGAGGTTCTGTGTTGACTACAGAGAGCTCAATAGCCGGACGGTCAAGGATAAGTTTCCTATTCCCATTGTGGACGAACTGTTGGACGAGTTGCATGGTGCCCAGTACTTCTCCAAGTTAGACCTTAGGTCCGGGTATTTCCAGGTCTGAATGGCTCTCGGAGACGTGGAGAAAATTGCCTTTCGAACCCACCACGGTCACTTTGAATTTTTAGTCATGCCGTTCGGTCTCACCAACGCCCCATCCACATTCCAGTCCCTGATGAACGAGGTATTTCAGTCCCATCTGCGCAAATTTGTTTTAGTATTCTTTGACGACATTCTCGTTTACAGTAAATCATGGGTAGAACATGTGCACCATCTGCGGACCGTTTTCGAGCTCTTGTGCCAACACAAACTCTTCCTTAAACGGTCCAAGTGCTCCTTCGAGGAACAACTGGTTCTTTATTTAGGTCACGTCATCCACGGGCAAGGTGTGATGGTCGACAGTTCCAAAATTCAAGCTATCAAGGAATGACCCAAGCCTCAATCCGCCAAGGCCCTACGCAGGTTCCTAGGTTTAACAGGTTACTACCGCAAATTTGTGCAGAATTATGGTCTGTTGGCTGCCCCGTTAACCAACCTACTAAAGAAAAATTCCTTCTAGTGGGACGACGCAGCCGATACAGCTTTTGCGACATTAAGAGATGCCCTGTCCTCCACCCCAGTTCTGCAACTACCGAATTTCGCTCTCGAGTTTACAATCGAGTGCGATGCATCCGGAATGGGTATCGGGGCCGTATTACAGCAGCAAGGGCACCCGATTGCCTTCTTCAGCCGCAAGCTGGCCGACCGACATTTAAAACTTCTAGCCTATGAGCGCGAACTAATCGGGCTAGCTAGAGCCGTCTAGCACTAGAGACCGTACTTGTGGGGGTGGTCATTCGTCGTCAAAACCAATCACTACAGCCTCAAGTACTTGTTGGAGCAACGACTCACCACTTCTCCTCAACAGCATTGGGTTAGCAAATTGCTTGGGTTCGATTTTCGGGTAGAATACAAGGCGGGATCCTCGAATCGTGCAGCTGATTCTTTGTCAAGACGCGATGAGGACGCGATGTTTCTATGTGGAATTTCCCAACCCCGGATCTCTCTATTAGACGACATCAAGAAGGCAATACCACAATCACCTGAATGGTCGCTCCTTGTACAAAAAGTTCAGTCCGGGGCCGCCGACTCCAATTGGTCCCTTCATGACGGGTTGGTATCGTATAAGGGCCAGGTACATCTCCCACCAAACTTCCCTTTGATTCCCTCCATCATCTCCAGCATCCATAACTCCACCCATGAGGGCATTCAGAAAACGCTGCACCGCGTCTGGGCTGATTTCCATTGGCAAGGTATGAAGGCTTCTATTCGGGATTTTGTCCAAAATTGCTCCACGTCCCAACAACATAAATGGGAAAACCTGCACCCGGCAAGCCTCCTTCAGCCCCTTTCGATCCCAACACAGATCTGGGCCGACATCTCCATGGACTTCATCGAGGGACTACCCAAGGTAGGCGGCAAATCAGTTCTGTTCGTGGTGGTGGATCGCTTCTCTAAATATGCCCACTTCATTCCTCTATCACACCCGTACAACGCCACTTCAGTTGCCCTCACCTTCTTTACGCATGTTTTTCGCTTACATGGGTTACCGGAATCCATCGTTAGCGACAGGGACCCGGTTTTCACTAGTGCCTTCTGGAAGGAACTGTTTTGACTACATGGCACCACCTTAGCCTTCTCCTCCGCATATCATCCACAGACCGACGGGCAAACGGAGGTGATAAACCGCACGATCGAGATGTATCTTCGTTGCTTCGTAGGGGACCAATTGTGACGGTGGGTGGATTGGCTTCCTTGGGCCGAGTACTATTACAACACTGCCTACCATTCTTCCTTCGGATGACCCCTTTTTGCGTCGTCTATGGCCGGGACCCTCCTCGCTTGTTATCCTATGAACCCGGTTCTACTCGTTTGGAGGAAATTGATCGCTCCTTACAAGAACGCGATGCCCTTCTAGCCGACATACACCTTCGCTTATAGCAGGCCCAGCTCCGCATGAAGCTCACCTATGACCAGCACCATCGGGAATTGTCGTTCGAACTGGGACAATTTGTTTGGTTGAAACTTCAGCCCTACCGGCAACGCTCTTTGCGCCACAGGGCTGCCCCTAAACAGGTCCCTAAATTCTATGGCCCCTTCAAGGTTCTGCAGCGGATTGGCGCAGTTGCATACCAGCTGGAATTACCGGAGAGTAGTCGGATTCATGATGTTTTTCACATCTCCTTGCTAAAACCATTTACGGGTGTTCCTCCGGACCAAGTCCCCTCCCTGCCACCCTTGAAGGAGGGCAAACTTATTCCCCAACCTAGGGCTCTCGTCCGCTCCCATATCAATCGAGGTATTCTTGAAGTTTTGGTGGAATGGGACAATCTACCGACAGCCGAAGCCACCTGGATCCCCTTGACTGAGTTCCAAGCCACATATCCTGAGTTCGAGCTTGAGGACAAGCTCTTAGTTCAGGAGGGGAGTAATGATATGGACGCGTTCCTCGGAAAGAAATATCATCGCCGCCGGCAGCAGCAGTGATCCGATGTTCTCATCCTATCCAATTCGACAGCAACAGTATTCTTATCAGTTCGGCAGATTGGATTAGATTACCTTATCTTATCTTATCTTATTAGGTTGCCTTATCTTATCAGATTAGGATTAAGAGAGACTTATCTTATCTTATCAGTCTTATCTTATCAAGATAAAGCTGGAGGTCTCCCTATTCAGCAAGGAGTCTCCCTAAGAACAGGACTCTTGTAATCTCCTATTTAAGGAGCCACTATTAGTGAATAAAGGCAYCRAATATTCAGTCAAGAAGAGAGTAAGGAGAGTTGGTGATCTCTTGAACAAATCACCAAGACGCCAAGATAGGTACCTCAAGAAAAGGAAGGGACAAGGGAAAACAGGAGGTTTTTCCTGTGGACCGACCTGTGACGAGATCCTATTCCCGGGCTCTTAACACATTCTCACACATATCATCCACTTTTATCAAGAAACACAGACAAAGTCTTTGAAACATGTGCTGTAACAGGTTTCAGCACTGTTCTCACACCTATTACTTACTTCCACTAGAAGAGAAATCCAGAAAAAAATACTTCTCACCTCTTAATAGGCCGACTACAACCAGTCCAGAAAACCACAACTTTGACCTTTCAAATAATCATAACACTCAACATGAGCTGTTGCACACCAACTGATCACCGACAGTCCCTCTTTGATACATTGACTAAAGGGTTTCTCTAAAACTCCACTGAAACCAAACCTTCTACAGAAACTGGAGGCATGGATACCTCCCTAGACAAGAAACGACAACTCCTTTTTAGTCTCTCTTTGATCCTCCAAGTATCCACCAAGAAATCTGAAACTTGATCTGCTGAGGGTGCTGAGAAGAGCAAAAAAAAAACTGGGAAGAAAATCAGGGCTCTGATACCATGTTAGATATTCAATTAGACCTGGTTTCCTTCCTGAAATAAAGGGAAAAAGAGAAGAACAGAGAGAAATAAAGGGCACAAAGTACAATGGGCTTTGTGCCCCTCTTTAAGTATGGGACACTCTTTGCAATCTCAAACCTAATAAACAAAACTCACTAGAATAAACTATTCTGAAATGATTCAAATACCCTTGGGCTGTCAACTCTAACAGTGTTCTAATTGTATTTGGATAATCAGTTGGAAGTGTCTAATTTACTCACAGTAATGTAACCTCCAATTTAATTATACACTTAATAAATTCTACCTTTGCTGATAAAAAAGGGTAAATGGAACCCTTGAATAAAGGATTAGGGTGCTTAACACCCTAATTTTAGGGTAGCTTCATTGTCTAACACCCACCATTTCATCTATTTCTTTACATATATAAAAATCAATATCCAATGGATGCATTGCCCCAAATACGGTTTTGGCTGTAGCAATTGTCTAGCTAATGCATTAGCAAAGTTGTTTGCTGATTTCTGCACTCGTGACCTCGGAAGATGTTTCACCTCCCTTATGATGTGTTTGTACTGATGCATACCTGAGTTAATACTTTGAACCTAGCCTACTGTCACCCTGCAAATGCAATCACCTCCGGCCTCAATATTTTTGTAATTTGAGTGATCTTTCCAATCTCAAGAATTGGACCAGTTTGGAGGTACACAGTTTTCTTGCTGTTGAAGAGCATTGTGGATCTAGAAAAGATGGTCAAAATGTCAAAATTGCTGTTTCTGAGAATGATTGGACCAGTTTGGAGGTTCACAGTTTTCTTGCTGTTGAAGAGGTTATTCTCCCAACAAAAAGCCTGAATTAGGGTTGGAGGATAGTGTAACTGTTTTGTTTATATAGTTCATTTTGAAGATGTTTACCTCTTCAACGGTTTCTTGCTTGTTGAAGAGGTTTGTTTAGCAATTGATAAGGTTGCCATTCTCTTTTTGTTTTATTCTGATCATAGTATAATTATTTTCATGTTGGTCTCACTAATTTAGAATTACTCAAATGATTTAAAAATTGCCTATTAATATCATCATCATCATCTTAAGTCTGTCCCAACTATTAATATGTTTTGACTATTTTTCGTATTCTGAGATTTCTTTAGGAAATATGGGTATCCAACAGGGATCATGTACTACTTTTTTATAAACGAAGTAGCTCACCTAAATTTCACTTTCTTGAAATGGGATAGGAAGGAAAGAACAATGCTTGACAAAGTCTTATCCAAAGATGTATTAATCATGCCTTGTAAAGGGATCTTGAAGGGTTGTGCCATGTCTCTTCCAGTGAGTTGGCTTGCATTTAGCACTTCTATGAGGTTTATGTTTCTTAATTCTAAACAAGTTTATATAATGAGCATGTAAACTTTCTTGTTCAGGATTTATGGAGAAGTCGTCGTGCCCTTGAAATTATTGAAGGTTTTGATCATTCAGTTGTAAATACAACCTTAGGGGCCTGTGGTGATTTACCTGTATCACAAGGTCCTTCCCTTCCATATTTTATTTGGCAGTGTGGGGAGATCAAGGTATCTAGTCAACAAACTTTCTTCAAAGATGAGGCTTTTTTATGGGGGGAGAAATTTCTTATTTTGTATACCATCTAGACCATAGCTCTTGTAAACTAATGATGATATGACCATTGTTCAATAAATTCAGGAACTGAGTGAGGCATTTACAATCATGGAATTTGACTTCTCAAAGCCCATAAGCCTATCTTTTGGGAAGACCAAGGTATTGTTGGCTTGTCTTTTAATGTCATATTAACACATTTTTTCTTTAATTGGTGCATAGTAAGCATGCTTGGATGGCTGCATGCAATCTCCCAAAATAATAGTTTGCAAATCATTTTGACTCATGCAAACCAGGTGGTGTCATGAAGCCAAAATAAAAAAAAAATGTATTGCCTTATTTATTTATTTTTTTGATCATTGAATAGTAAGATTTATTAAATCATAGCCAAAGAAAGTACAATTTAGGGAGAGGCACGAGATGCTACCTCCTCTTTAAGGAGGGGGGATGGAGGATTCCATCTACCCTTCAGTTGAAAATACATAATTAAGGACAAATAAAATTACAGAGAAGCCTAATACAAAGTAACCCGAGTAGCCCTTTGTTTAGCAAGATAATCAGCCAAGGCATTTGCTGATCTACCCACCCACTGAAACCTAACTGTCATATTCCTCGTGAGCCATTTAACCTTTGTTAAAACATCCTTAAAGCCCCAAGTGACAGTACCCAGGTCAGCCAACCATCCTACTATCACATTGGAATCTCCTTCAATTTTTAAGTTCTGCACTCCAAACAAGGTTTAAAATGTCGATGTCGATGTCGATGGAAATGTTGCTTACCAAAATATAGGACATATGTTGCAAATGTCGAGGGGAAATATTATAAAAATTAGAGGCATTGTGGATTTACTGATCAATAACAAATTAGTAAATAACGATTATATAAAGCTAAGAAACTAAGATCAATAACAAATTAATAAATGACGATTTACTGATTTATTAGGCATTTTGATGTTTTTACAAATTTAATAAATTTATTCTGATTTTTATATTAAATGTAGAATATGATTTATTATAAAATTTAATAAACATGTTCTGATTTTAATAAATATTTTAAAATCTAACTAGTTAATATTTTATTACATGAAAAATATTTTATGTTTTATATTATAAAGTAATTAATTTATTCTTTTATTTTATATTTTGTTAACTTTTTTTTATAAATATTAAATAAAAATTATTAATGGAATAACTTATATTAATGTATTGTGTTATATTAATATAGTATGTTATTTTAATATATTATATTATTAATGTACATTAGTCGACATTCTGTTGACATAATAGGAAAAACTGCCTTTTTTTTTTGGTTATTTGGACCGATTTGGTTGACATTTCCGAAATATAGGAAATGTCGACCGAAATAATGTAATTTTTAGATTACCATCCATTTTCATGTCGGTGAGCCTCGACATCGACATATGTCGGGCGACATTAGCGACATTTCGCGACATTTGAAACCATGACTCCAAGTTGATATACAATCTATATCCCCTGTACCGCAGCTAGGAGTTCAGCCCTCATAGAGTCTCCTATTCCCACTAGTTCTAAGAATAAGAGAAAGAATGTTGTTGCCTTCGTTTCTCAATATACCACCAATGCCAGACAGTCCTGGATTGCCCTGAGTCCTTGACTACTCCCATAAAAATTCAGCTTAACAAAACCCTCCATAGGCAGAGTCCAAGTTGCTTGAATTCTGGGCTTCGTAGAAGTAAAGACAATTGCAGACCAATTCCTCCTTATATCATCGAAGGAGTAATTTTCAAAGTGTTTTAAGGATTTCAGCCACAAAATAGCCCTTGTCAAAATAGTCCTTGACCTCAAGAATGGCTCTTTCCTTCTCCTGTAATATTCTGGCATTCCTTTCTTCCCAAATAGTCCATAGGAGAGCTGCTCTTTTACATTTTATCATTCTCCCTCTTTTCATGGGCCACACAAAGGTAGAAGGAGAAAACAACAAATTTACCTTAGCTGGAAAGTTCCACCTGCACCCAAACAGATCAAATACCCAATTCCAAAGAGCTGCAGCAAAAGAACAGAAAATCAATAAATGGTAACAGTCCTCATTCTGCGCTTTGCACGGAGTACACCAGTGAGGGGGTAAACACAAGAAAGGTCTTTTCTTCTATAGGTTATCTAGCGTGTTGATTTTACCATAGTATACTTCCCAACAAAAGACAACTAGTTTTGAGGGAATAGGCCTAGACCAGACTTCTTTAAGTGGGAATGCCCAACCCTCTACGGAAGCCAAGGTCCCAGTTTGTAGACAAAAGGGGTAACCAGGGATAAAAGAAAAGTAGACACATGCTCTTTTTTATAAAGGGAAATAGAGAAAGGAGAGGGGAAAAGGTCCTTGAGGGGCAAAGTTCCCACCCAAGTGTCTTCCTAGAAAAAAAAACTTGAGTCCTAGAGCAAGCATCATAACTTACAAAGCGGAGGAACTTGGGGAGGATGCCATGAATTTCCTTCCAAGGTGTTACAAGAGTAGCCCATCTAGATACTTCTGCATCCCAACCATTTTTTTTTTTATAAATAACACTTTCATTAACTCATCAATAGAAGATTTACAATAGGAAGACAAACACGCTTATCTTCCAAGAGCAACAAAGAACCTCAAGAAAAGGAAAAAAAGAAAGAAAACACACTATAGTTACAGCTTAGCCCAAAACAGTGAATCC